GCCATTGACTTTTGTTTAGTGTTGTTTATTAAACTAGATGATTGAAATCTGAAGAAATAAGATGTATTGGAAACCTGTCAATTTATAAGTATAAAAACGGGGCTCAACAGCATGTGGAAGAACCCTATACAGCCACAACATCCTTGCCCAATCCATAGACCCAACTACACTGCTCAACCCACAAATGTAGCATAATTTAAGAGGAAATAAACAGACTTTCCAGTGGTTTAGTACTTGTTGCCAAAATGCATTTTACAACAAAGAAATAACTGACCAATTTTAAATTTCCTTGTCTTTTGGGCTATGTTTAGATAACTAGATAAATTGTGTGTGCATGTGTGTATTTTTACTGGACAAGAGGTGATTGGTGGCCTGGATCTATCACTAACAGGCTGATCACATGAGCTGGCCATGCAGCAGCTGGATGTCCCTCCATGACCTGGGTTGAATGTAGGTAACCTGAGTGTGTGTGTTTGTGCGTGTGTATGTCTGTGTGTGTGCATAATGCTTCACCTTCTCTATCTGCCACAGTGAATCTGCAGTAGAGGAGTTGGCAGCCTTTTTCTTTCATTCCAAAGCTAACGGAGTGTGTGCGGACTGAGGACATGGCTCTGCTGATGGAGCACCAGTTCAGACAGCTGCCCGCTGACAGACAGGTGGAGACAAGACCCTTTTTGGAGACTGTGTCATACCTTCCACCATTTTTTGGTAAGTGATTAGTTGTTTAGAGACCATTGATTCATTTCTGCTTTTAAGTTAAAACATATTAAATGTCATGGGCTGCATGAAAAGGATTCTGATATTTATGGTTATGGGGCTTATTATAATCAAATTCAGTCATAAACTGAACTAAAGCGGCTGTGTGCATAATATATAATCCTGACTGTTTTTCCTCTGTCCCATTTTTGATGAAAATTGATTATACGGCACATAACATGTAGAGAAGGAAAATCTGTCCCTACCATTCCTCAAAGCTCATCAAAACAATGTTACTCCGTTCAAATGATAATCTTTTTTGGCTCATATTTCTTCCCATCAAGCTGTCCACAATCCTTTAGCATGCATAATTTAATCCACTGGCCTGGATTTGAAGTTGTGAAAATTGATTAGTACGGTGTTGAGTTCCCCTCGTCCATTCAGACGGGCCGCGCGGCACCAAAGCATCTTTGTGCGACTTCATTCTGTATTAATACGCCAAAGTCTCTCCATTGAATTTGCCATGTGAAACCCTTGAGATGAAACAAGTCTGACGCCGGTATCAAACTCTTCCCTCCTTGGTGCCATTGTTTATTTCCTGACCCAGAAACTTTTCTGCCAATTTTCCTACAAGCTATTAATGTCCTGAACACTTTGTACAAATTGACACAAGTGTTTGCCTAATTAGACTTCCTCTTTGCTGTTTGGACAATACTTGATTGAGTCCCTCATTGTTCTTTTGTTTTTGCTCATTTAGGTTGTAATCCTGTCAGAAACGTTAAGCTTTTACCTCACCAAGAAATGCTCATTCACTAGAGACACCCTGTATATATATATTTTTAAATCACAAGTGTTCATTTGTAGAGAGAACCACAAGGTGAGGACAACTCCGAAACTTGATATGTTCCCATTAATATTGTGGCAATGCATCACATCGATACAATAGAGAACTTCATCATGAGTAGTTTCCACTAACAGCTGAAACAGGTCCTGGGTATCAGCGGGTCGACTTTGAACCATGTGTGGTCGAGACTGGAAGTGTCTTTGTGTTCACAATGATGTCACCCAAACTCAGTTGTCTGAAATAAAAATAAATGAAAAAAAAAATGAAAATAATAGAAAATAGAACTGAAGTTATTTTGATTTATTTTTTTAAAGTCAGGGTTGTAGTATAAATGTACCCTGCTGGTATGTGTTGCTCACAGAGATTTTATCTTCTTTTCCTGCAAGGTGAATTAAAGTATCTGCTGTGAAAAATGTCCTCATTTCCATCATTCCCATCATTCCCACCATTTCCATTTGTGAGGCTAAAACATTTAGAGAGAAACAAAAGGTTACCAAACATTCTAGTTTCCTTTGGAGTTGCTTTCAAATATTTGGAAAACCTTGGTAATTTTAGAGGCTTATTAAAATGTTTTAAAATGTTTTGTTTCTATAGGGGTTATTGCACAATGATTCAGGTTTTCCTCCTGAATTGTGTTGCCATTTATGCACACAAATGTAGACAATTGTGTTTTTGTGTATGTCTGCGTGTGAGTTTGTTGATGATTACCCAATGATATCACAAACCTGTTGGACATTTTGTGACAGATTAACTGAATTTTAGATGCACACCTATATTTTACACTTTAGGATTAATTGCAACTGTTTATTTTAAACAGTAACAAAACCAACACGTTTTTATTACATTTTAGTATTTGTTTTTATATCTTACTTTCTTTTTTTACTATGACATCACATCTGGGGTGGGATTTAACTCTAGATTGAGGTTTTGTCGTTATGTGTGGTTGGCCCCATTTTGCTGAGTCTCTGGAGTGGAGCTTTCAGGAAGTGGACCAGATCTGAGTTATGTGGTAGTTTTTGCATGTCTGAAAATAAATATTCAAGTTTGAAAGTTGAGTCGATTTCCTGCTCATTATTTGATCTTTCATTTGATCTTTCAAACCAATGGATAGATTTTATATAATCTATCAGAAACCAGTGACTGATTGAACATCTACAAATGAATTTTTGGAATCCAGCTTGTTAAAGATGGCCACTACAGCCAGCTGACTTTAAAAACACACAAATGTCTAAAACAGTTTGTTTTAAAGATAAAAACCTAAAGTTTAGTGTAGTAGTTGCTGATAATTATCCTCAACTTCTTCTCTGAGCACAACTTCATCGTCATACCTTACGTGTTGGTATTACTCCTTAAATCTACAAATTATTCCTCCTCAGACTGCCTCGGTTCAACTATCTTTGCACCAATCAAGGCAGACATCTCCGGTAACATCATGGTACGTACGCATCAAACCTGTCTGCAATGATGTTTTATGAAGATTTATGATAATAGATTATGTTCTGTTTAACAAATAGAAAATCAAGCAAGTTTACGATTCCAATCCGGGACGATATAAAACACTTCAGATGATCTTGGAGGCAGAGAAGGAAATGCACGGAGCAGAATGGCCCAAAGTTGGAGCCACATTGGCTCTGATGTGGCTGAAGAGGTGTGTGGCATTCAGACATTTTTACTGGATGTGCTGCTATATGGAAGAAGTCCAAAATTCCTTACTGTGCATGTCTTTTAAAAAAAACAGGGGCCTTAAATTTATCCAGGTGTTTCTTCAAAGCCTGGTGGACGGTGAAAAGGACGACACCAACCCCAACCTCATCCGAGTGAACATCAACAAAGCCTACGACATAGCCCTTAAAAGGTATCATGGCTGGTTTGTTCAGCAGCTCTTTAAGGTGAGTTCAGACCCAAAGGTTTAAACGTATAAATGCCCTCAGCTGTGCTTAAAGAGACCCCTTTTCTCTTTCAGGCAGCTCTTTTTGCCACTCCCTATAAGTCGGATTTCCTGAAGGCCCTCTCCAAGGGTCGGGACGTCAAGGAAGAAGAATGCTTGGAAAAAATCCGAAAATTCCTCCTCAACTTCACTGCCACCGTCGAGGCTATTTATGATATGTTTAGTAGAATGAACGCTGATCTGGACTACAAGGTGTGACAGATGGAGATGTCTATTTTTTTCTTTCACTGAGAGGATTCATTCCAAACACTTTGTTTGCCTGTTTTAAAATGTGAATGCCTTTCATGTTTCCTAGCTGTTTTTTGACTCTGGTAGTATGATTTATATTACTGACTCTATACTTTAGACCTTGTTTTTTTGCAACTCAAAAAAGTGTTTTAACTCAAAAGTATTAACAGGCAAATTTCCTCACAAAAATGATTCATTCATCCATTCATTCAAAAACCTTCTAAAAACACTCCAGTGTGTCTCACATTCAGAGACCTGCTCTGCTTCTTTCAGGCCAACAGGCATAAACTCCATACTCTTTTTAATGCAGGCTATTTATTATTTGATTCAGACTGCTTAAAAATAATGTGGAGGTTGAACAGAGGAGACACTGCCCCTAATATTAAATGGTTGATTCTTTAATAGTGGATAAATGTCACACAAATAGGATTAGAGAGTTTTTGTAGCTGATATTTAACAACAACAAACAAAACAAATCAGAAAATCTCAGAAGATGGTTGACATCAGTGATAAACAACTGGTGGACAATGCACCATAACAAGCCCCTAAGTGCAACGTACATGGCCCACAGGTTAATAAACTATTATTTATTAATTAATAAATTAATACTTGGGCACCAGTGACCCCCGTGACCCTGAAAGTAAGAAATGGGTATAGATAATGGTTGGATGGGTAAAAAAATAGACACAGTAATCAGACCAGACCTGACAGCAAGAAAACCTACTGTTAGAGTTTTTTGTTTTTGATTTGTTAGAGACCGTTTTGCAGAAGGAGCAAAAGTCAGATGCAGGTGTTTTAACTACTAAAAAAAAACTCATTTATGTTTGTATCTGTAATAAAGCTATGCTCAAATGACGCCCCCCCCCCCCCTCGATCTACTGTTTTTGGTGTTTTCCTGCAAGCAATAATGTTGTTAGACCCAAACTTCTCGTAATAGCTTTTCGTTATTGTATTTAGGCTTTTTAAAAAATATTTTCTTCACATTTACAATTCATCTAGTTTTCACAAGTAAAGTTACAACCACAGCAATTAGAAAAATATAAAACAAAAATTGTTGTATATGGCAGCAGAAAAAAAAGAAATGACAAATAAATAAAATGCACCAACCACAGTCACAACAAATATAACTGAAAGGTTTGAACATTTCTGCTTTGTCGTCTCCCCTAAACTAAATATTTCATCTTGTAATGAAACTAACACTTTTATGTTTAAGCTAGTTATTCATGACATCCTTTAATGACCTAGGTTTTTCATGACATGCTGTTCATCTGCAGACAGAATGATTAAAGTCAGAACAAGATCTGCTAACAACAGTCATTCTTAGATATCACTTGTGTTTATCTTTGTGTTTTCCATTGACCTTGTATCAAATCTTGCTAAGATGACAGAATGGTGTTTGTTAATATATATATGAGGCCTCTCGAGACACAGTGTATAACAGTAGTGTGGAGAGACTGACAGAGAGAAGCAGAGGCACAGAGACAGGCCAGGTTGTTGTCTGTGTTTCCTGTTGTTGCAATAAAACTCAGCTGATCATCTCACGGAATACCTTCATTCTTGGATCATGTATTTCTGTCTTTGTTAAATAAATATTGCCATAACAATCTTATTTTCAAACCCAATTCCAATGCAACTGTGTTATGTAAAACATAATTATTGGAATATAATRATTTGAAAACATTTTCAACATATTCATTTGAATATAGTAGACAAGATATTTAATGTTCAAACAGTAAAACTTTGGTTCTTTGCAAATATTGACTGATTTTGAATTTAATGCCTGCAACATCATCTTTCCTTTGGGACACAAATTGTTGAAGCTTTGTAGGTGGAATTCTTTCTCATTCTTGCTTGATGTACAACTTCAGTTGCTCAACCTTCTGTGGTCTCTGTTGTTGTATTTTGCACTTCAGAATGTGTCGCACATGTTCACGTGCAGAATGTGGCCTGGCATCGTCTTGCTGAAATAAGTAGGGAAGACGTGGCTTGGATGGCAGCATTTGTTGCTCCTTAACCTGTATGTATCTTTCATCATTAATGGAGCCTTCACAGATGTAACAATTACACATGCCATGGTCACTAACACACCCCCATACCATCAGAGAGGCTGGCTGTTGAACTTTGTGCTGAGAACAATCCAGATGGTCCTGTGTTCCCTGACAATGATTTTCTGAAGTGTTCCTCAGCTCATGTGCTAATATCTGTTACAGAATGATGTGGGTTTTTAATGCAGTGCCACCTGAGGGATCCAAGGTCACGGGCATTCAATGTTGGTTTTCTGCCTTGCTGCTTACTTTCTCTGATTCTCTGAATCTTTTGATGATATTATGAACTGTAGATGACAAAATCCCTRAATTCTTYACTATTGTACGTTGATGTTCTTAGACTGTTGAACTATTTGCTCACTCAGTTGTTTGCTCACTCACTAAGTGGTGAACCTCRCCCCATCCTTTCAAGGATGCTCCTTTTATACACAGCCATGACTCTCACCTGTTTTCAATTAACCTGTTCGTTCACAGGTGTGTTTTTGAGCATCTTTCGACTTTCCCAGCCTTTGTTGTGTTGCAGGCATCAAATTAAAAATTAGAGAATACTTGCAAAAAATAAATAAAAACAACAAAGTTTATCTGTTTGAACAATAAATATCTCACCTTTGTACTGTGTTAAATTTATTATAGGTTGAAAAGGATGTTCAAATCATTGTATTTTTTTATTTCTGTTTTCCCAACTTCATTGGAATTGGGGTTTTATAAACTGTAAAAAGATGYTTTCTTGTTTAAGGTTTTTCCTTTTTCATTAAAACCACATTCATTATCTTACATTGACAATTACAAAAACAAGAGTTCAAAATATTAAAACAGTTATCAGGACAGACCTTTCAGTGTTTGATTTTAATCGGTCCGGTTTTGGATTCTGATACATAAAAGGAAAAACTTGTATCTTTTTACTTGTTTGTGAAGGTACTGAACATTAAAGTGAGCGCGCTGCTTTTATTAACTCAAGTAATCTCTTTATGAAAGCTTGCCTTAACAACGCACAGGAAAAAAATGTTAATGAAGTATTTCTGCAATGTTTTTATCATGAGCTTTTTGCTGTTTTAAGTATTGATTCTTAATCGCAGCTTCAAGAGACAAAAGTCTTTATGAGATTTTCTGCTTCTCCCAGAAAGGAAATACTTCTCTACATTGTGGCATCATGTCACAGCTCGTGTTGTGTACTGTTATGTTGCAGTGTGTGTACATAGAATAAGAAATCTTCTTTTGCAAAATGTAATAAAAAYGTTTAAAAATCATGTTGATCAATTAAATTAGTCTCTTCTGTTGTTAATGTCTTCCAGTTACTGCAGGTTTTAATACAGTATCTTTATGTCATTTTGACCATAAAGTAACCAGTGGCTGCTTGTACTATAGTAGTTTTCCACATACAGTAATTTTACTGTGTTTGGTTCTGTTGCAATTGTTCTTTTTTCTATTAGTTTACTTTTTGCTTTTGTCAGGCACTTGGTGGTGTCAGTGGACACAAGATGAATGAGTCGACCTTTTTTTTGAGGAACAAAAGAAAAAAAAAACACAATGGCTCACAAAAAGTAATTGTGTATAAATATATTCAAACATTTTGCAGGTATGATTCAAAGTGAAAACTTATGAATGATGCTTCTACGCCTCAAAACTAATGTGAGATTTTTAAATTCACTATTTAAAGCTTTTCTTTCCAAAACTTTTACAGTTCTGTGACTTTTGTCTCATCTCTGCATCATTCAAAAGAAGTTTTATTAAATGTGTGGCCTGCAGACTGTTGAGGTGATTATTGTCACCTGAGATTGCTCTGTGTTCAGTAATGCTTAAATTATGGTAATTAAAAAATAATAATATTTTTTCAGAGTTAAACTGGCAGTGCTCTAAAAACAATACATGAACTGAAATTGTTAGCGTAGATTTCAATATTGCTTTTTTTACTGAACAAATTTCATAAATACTACCCAAGCCAAGTGCCTGATCTTCTTTATGACCCAGTTGTATAATTTAAGCTTTTGTCCTGTTTTAACCTTACTTTTACTTTTATACTTCAAGTTTTAAAACCAGTACTTTTTCCAATTTTACTTGAGTAAAAGCCTGAGTTAATACTTGAGTAATGAACGTGAATACTTCTGACGCCTCTGGTATTTAACAAAGATACCAAACCGTCCTGGTTTCAGGATTGGGCTGCCTGTTGAAACATGTTTTTCTTTAGTTGGTGGCTCCTGCCAAAACCCTTGGGGTGCATTCCTGCCACACCCTGTTACTAGACCACTCTGTGGTTTTGAACAGGTGAAGTATGGCACAGTGTTTGTGAAACACTTTACTCTGCAGGTATGTTTCTTCATGAGTGCACAGGACAGTGA